GTTAAGAGACAACCCATGGAGCTATCTGCAGCCACTATAGCAATAGTTCGATCCCTGCCCAGGAAGCTACCCACATGGCACAGCAGACCTCTCCTGACTCGTCCCCTGCTCCCCTCAGCAGTGTATTTCAGTCAGTCTGCCTGTTCTGTTCCCCCCTCTGTCTCTGGTGAATTCTCTCACCCCCCAAACCTCTGGATTGTGACCCAGTTCTTGTATGCATAAATAAATAAATCCTTAAAAAAAACTATACAGACCTAGCAATTTATGACCTAGTGCTTGTTTGCAAAGCTTTCAAAAATTGTTGTGGTAGCCAACTTTTAACAGCAATTTCATTTTGTTGGTGGAGAATTTGGAGAGGCAGGCTTCACACCTGTGGTCTGAAAATGGGCAGAGCTGAGATCAGACTCCAATCACCTCCGTCCAGGGTGAAGAGCCCACAGCTTCCCACTGGCCTGACCCACTGAGATATTTCCATGGATGTGGACATATTTCTAAATGAGTTCTGTCCATCCCCTGGTCATACATTTTCTTTCCATGAACAAGTGTCACCTTAGTGAATCAAAACACATCACAAATGCTGCTACAGAAGCACAAAGAAAACAGAAGATGTCATGAAAGAAATGATACCAAAAACTCCAGAACTAGAGAACATGAATCTCCAGACTGAAAGTGCCCATGGATCACACAGCACAAGGGATCACAAAGATCTACTTCAGGGCAAAGCAACCTGCAATTTCAGATGAAGGGGAATTAAGAGGAGATCCTAAGAGATCCCTTTGGTTGGGGTGGGGTGGGGAGCCCCCAAGCAATGTTTAGGACAGAGGGCTGCTTCAGAGCAACTAACTCTTGAAGACTCTGAAGCAATAACTTTGATATTCCTAGAGAGATCTTCATTCTCTATTTCCATACCCAACCAAACCATTAATCAGAAATGAAAGCAGAATGGACATATTCAGATATATAAGAACCCCAAACACTACTTCCCATACATATTTTTTCTCAATTTGCTGCAGGATATTCTCCAGAAAGACAATGGAGAAAAACAGAACAGGAAGAATAGGGATCCAAGAAACCTCATTCCAAGAAGAATCCAAGACCACTCATTCCAGAGCAGGTGGGGGGGGGGGAAGTCAGGGGTGAGGAGGGAATCCCTCACCCAGGGCTTTGAGGAGACCCTGAAGCAAGAAGATGGAGGCTTCAAAAGGAAGTTCTCAGGAAAGACAAAGCTGGCATGAGCAAAAAACCAAAGCAAAGGGAGGAACTGATAAATGACCTGATGCATTAGTATCAGTGGGCACTGGGGAATTTGTATGTAGAAGCTTTTGGGAAAAAAACAAACAAACAAAAAAACCATAGGAACTAAGCAAGTAACAGCAAGGCAATTATTACCTTCAGATAAAAGGAAAAAAAAAACACCAACAAACTGGATGTCTAAAAAAAATAGAATCATAACTGCTACTCGAATGAGTCATAACAGGGCAAAGCTGAAGGCGGTGGCTTTCATTCAGAATTGCAATATCACCATGTTGGGAAAGGGGAAAATGGACTGTGGGTGGTTATGTAGGATAAATCAGTCCATACCTGTCTTGACAGGAATTTAAAAAAAAAAATCTAAAATGGAAAAATCAAGAAATAACATCCAGGGCCAATTATGGAGATACCAGAAGCAGCAGCTAAAATGGTTGAAAAGTGGCAGAACTTGGGGGGGAATGGACTCAACTTGGGGGGGAATGGACTCTTACATAATAATCCTCTTGGAACCATCTGATGTTTAAACTACATCACAGATGACTTTGCTAAAGTAACTATTAATGCTTCAAAGAGTAAAAGATATAAGGACTTGGAAGAAGCAGGAATAAACAGCTCAGTTTACCTGAACAACTTAGTCTCTGATATACTGCAGGAATTGTTCCCCAAGAAATAGGCCGTGAGCAGATGGCAAACCTGTACTTGGTCAACCAAAGCCTCTGGTATCAGCATCATTTTCAGGGGGTCTGTCTGACTCTTTAAGTCTCCAAGGTGCCAGAGGGCAGAATGGGTGTCACAAAAAAACTCCAGCCAAGAGAAACAGCTCTGAATCAAAGAGAGCAGTTCTACCACCACTGAGGTTGGGGGTGCGCCTGGCACAGGGATAAGGACTGTTATGCTTTATCTCTCTTAGTCTCCCCAAGAAGCTTGTGGGTGGGTCTTTTTATTAATCCTTCAACCAGAGTGAAGAAGAATTAAGCTTGGAGGCATCACAGAAGGGGTCCATACTTACTGTACTTTCTAAGTCCTGAGTCTGTGTGACACTGAATCTAACCACTGATCACAATCCCTCTGCTCCAGGGCCCCCCACTATCTTGATGGCAACAGGTAACACTTTCGGGTTCTTTTGTCTTTGAGTAAATCCTTTAATCTCTCTGACCACTGTTTCTTCCCTCTGGAAAGCTGATGTTTCCCACTCCACTTCACTCACAAGGCTCAAATAAGATGTGTGAACATTTAAAAATAAACCCTATCAATGTATACACATGAAAATATTTTTTTGATGATGGGAGGGGGACAGGTGACTTTGTGATGCTATCTGGTCTCCTCTGTAGGCTTTAAAACAGTCACCCCTAAATTATTTGTATGATCACACGCTAGTACAGATCCTGGGGGTCCAGAATGATACAATGTGGTGCCCAAGGTCAGCAGGTGAGCTGGTGCTGTCAGCACCTGGACCATGAGTGTGGCTCTGATGCACCGCCACCTCCACCTGGGGAATTTGCCATAGTGAGTGCTGAGGGTTTATTCTCCTGTTCTATTTCCCATGAATTTCAGAGTCTTCTGTGAGCACCAGGTTCAGAACTTCCAGCTCAGGGCCTCCCGGGTGGCACAAGGGGTTAAGCACCGTACTATGAAGCAATCTGCAGGCTCTGCAGCACCAGTTCGATCCCAGCTGGCCAGGGAGAAACCCACATGACGAGGCAGACCTCTCCTGTCTCACCTGCTGCTCCCCTCAGCAGTGTATTTCAGTCTGTCTGTTCTGTTCCCTGCTCTCTCTCTGGTGAATCTTCTTACCCTCCACATCTCTGGCCTGTACCCCAGTTCTTATATGCATAAATAAATAAATCTTTAAAAAAAAAAAAAAGAAGTTCCAGCTCAGTACTTGTTACCAGACGGAACAGAAAAACTAAACAACTCTGAGTTAGAAATTTTTCTTTCCCTTTATCTTTTTCTGTCCAAGCATGACCTGAGGTAACTTTTTTTCTTCCATGACTTTCCAGGCATCTGCTGCCCAAGTCTGCCACCTGGTGGACAATATGTGCATTTTAGCCCTGAGCTTTTTCGAAGGGCTTTCACACTCATTAAGCAAAACCACTGAGACACCCTTACAATTTGCGAGCTATGTTAGGTAGGAATTATCCTTTCCACTTCATGATGAGAAAACAAGGGCTTAGAAAGAGGAAGGAATTCCCAGATACCTGGAACTGCATTTGGTATCTTTTTCCCCTCCATCTAGCAAAACCCTAAAATACTTCATAGTTTGAGTTCAGGGGTTTGATCCCCGTGTAAGTGCTGGCTCAGCAATTGTCACCAAGTGAGGGCCTGTCCCAAACCTGAATTTGATCACTACCTGGTCCTCTGTTATGTTCAACATTTAAAGGGTGTGTGTGGGGGGGGGAGGGGACAATTCTGTGCAATGAATGTGCTACAAGTACTTACAAAAGGAAAAGTGAAAGCTGATAGACTGTTTTAACTCTGTGTGTGGTTTTTTTTTTTTTTTTTCATGTTTGGAGGATTACTGCAATACCCCCACATTGGATTTAGTTAAATGTGAAAATTCAGGCAGCCAAGTTGCCTTAGGGTTCTTTGAATATAGCCACTGACCACTTTATAAGAGTTTTGTGAAGTTCTCTGCGTGCAGGGGCATTTTCCACTCTAAGGAGGGTGTGCCCTCCGGGTGCGGCCTTCTAGTGAGCTCTGTGATCTGCAGTCAGGCTGTCATTCACTGGATATGTGACCTCGTTGTGATACCCTCCCTGTGCCTCATCTTCCTCCCAGGGAAGACAGGGATACAAAGGAGCACTCCTCTCAGAGGTGCTGTGGAAGATTCAGGCACACAACTTCCAGGAAGCATGGGCCAAGGCGGCGAAGGCGAGCTTGCCAGGACAGGGTGTGTGCTGGAAATGGCTGCAGATATTCTGGTCACCCGGTGAAAAGGAACACTATAGGCTCATATGAGTCCGGGATGCAATGCAAAGGCTGTTCCACTCAGTTTAGAATTGTCCCTTGAAAATACATTTCTCCAAAAATGATGAACAAATGGTCTCATTATGCTTAGTGAAATTAAGTCAGTCTGACTAAAGGACAAACACTGTATGGTTCCACTTACACTGGTACCTAGAATAATCAAATTCACAGAAAGTAGAATGTTGTTGCCAGAAGCTAGGGGAGGAAGAAATGGGGTGTTATTGTTTAGTGGGTACAGAATTTCAGTTTTGCAAGATGAAAGGTTTCTGGAGATGGTTGGAGCCCATGTGAATACACTTAATGCTGCTGAGTTGCACACTTAACAATGGTCATGATGGTAGATTTTATGTGCATCTTAACACAATAAAAAAAAAAAATCCTGCTCAAAGCGCCAATAGCATCCCTTTGAGTGACACTGCTCAACCATCTAAAAATGGCCAATTATATGCGGATTTGGTCATAAGAAGTTCTATGAACTTGTGAGCCCTAAGTTAACTGGGAGATACTTGTCTAGGTTTCTCCTTTGTTTCCACTGCCAGCTTAAGGAGACCCTAAAAATCAGGTAAAGGAGAAACTTGAAAGAGTCAAAACAGTAATAGGCCCAGAAGGAGGACTCATGCTATTGCTAGCTTTAGTTTTGAGAAAATCTTATTTGTAGCAATGAACTTACACATTCATTATACCATCAATAAGATAACCTTAGGGGCAACAACTTGGCATATCTATCATTGAAGGGTATGTTCACATGCTGGCGGCAAAGTGAAGAGCAGAGAAGTTCTTACCTTGTAGATACAGGACTTAGCATTCAGAAAGAAGAGCTCTATTGTAGCGTTGTCCTTTAGGTACGAAATGCTCTCGATATAGAACCTGAAAGAGAAAGAACACAAGTGAACTGCAGAAACGCCAATGGATGGAGTGGGAAACAACCCTTCTCTAAGCTACAGGACATGACACGAGGACTAGAACTCCCAGTCACCAAGAAAAACAGAAAAAGGCGTCGTCAGTTGTTCCCCTATGATCCTGTTTTTGGGAGGAATGGTTGTTTTCCAAGTCCACTGGTAGCAGGTTAGCATGGCTGTGCCTGTCTGTCTGTCCTTGCCATAAGCCAAAGAACCAGCCTGACCTTCATTTCTAAGCTTGCCCATATATTTTATGTCCCCTCACCTGCTTTGCAATGTTGTATACTGCCACTGGTGTTCATTATATTCTGTTTCTGTCCTCTTCATTGTTAAGTTAGGTTTTTAAAAAATATATCTTTCTTAATATTTTGTACTATTTTGCAAAATCAAAAGCTGTCCTGGTTTTCCTTTTTTTCCCTTTTCTTTCTTTCTTTGTTAGTAATCATTTTTGAGGTAATGTTTTACAATATTGTATGTGTTTTAGGGGTACAGGTTCACACCTCTTTATTTTTATTTATTTTTTTCAAAATATCTTTTTATTTATTTTTTATTTTTTTTTTTAAGATTTATTTATTTCTTTATACAATTTATTTCTTTATACACTGCTGAGGGGAGCAGCGGGCGGCAGGAGAGGTCTGCACGCCATGTGGGACCCTCCTCTGGTGGCCGGGGAGCAGCCGGGGACCGAACCAGCGCTGCAGAGGCTGCGGGCAGCTTCGCAACCCAGCGCTCAACCGCTGCACCACCGGGGAGGCCCTTCAAACCTCTTTAAATGTATGTCACACACCCCACCCATGACCAAAACACCATTACTCTTCCACTGTGGTCCACTGGCCCCCTCCCTCTCTGGTAGCCTCAGTTCTGAACTCAGACTTCTAGGGGTTGCTTTTGGTTTTGTGAGATGGATTTTTAAAGATAATTTCTCCTGCTAAATTGAATGAGGGGGTCCGATTCCTCTTGCCATGGTTACTTCATATCTTCCTGAAGGTACCAATGTATGATTTGATTTCTGCAAAACCAGAGAGCTGGAGTAAGGGTTCTTAACACTGAGAAATATTAGTTCTAATGCATATTAAGCCAAATGAGAATTGGATTTTTATCCAGATGGAGTTTATAGATTTTTTTAAGATGAAACATGCTGAAATTATTTTAGTTTACATTCAATGTGCCTTTAAGCATTGACTTTGGAGTTTATTAAATTCTTTAATTAGATAAAGTACTTGTACTTGTCTAAAAATCCGCTGCACTAAGGAATTAAGAGTTGTAATGAGAGGGGAGAGGAAAAGCTTGATGTGCAGAGCCTCAGAGGGGCAGACGGTTCCAAGGAACAACCCAGGGAGGATGCTGGACACCAGGTAGAACCTGGGTACCCACGGGAGCAGCTGTGCAGAGGGTGAAATGAAAAGCCACAATACAAAGGTTCTGGAACAGCATTTCAATGTGATGGAAAGAATCCTGGGCAGGAAGTGGAGACTAGTGAGCTGGTCCCAGCTCGATGTGGTTCAGGGCAAATCACCTCATCTCCCTGTGCTTCTATTTTCCAGACTAAAACCAGGCAGTGGGACTCTGGATCTCCACCTAAGAAATCTAGTAGCTTTTGAATACTGGAAACTAATTCAGATTAAAACAAAGTAACACAGCAATAATATCAAAAACAACAAACCAGTATGTTAAAGCAAAGGAAACATGTCTGTAGGTTAGGTCAAGCCCATCTCCCACCAGTTTGCAAGCTCTAATCTGCAGACTAAATAAATACTATCTTGTATTATTTTCCAGTGTATGCAGAGGCTGTTTTCACAATACCAGCTCATTTAAATTTGTGAGTGAATATGGAGTAACTTGAGATATTAAGAGATATTTTCAAGTAACTGATATAGCACAATTATCACTTGAGAGACTACAGGAATTTTGCAAAGTACAGTCTGGTCCTCCTTGGGAAGCCTGGGACTGTGTAGGCTGGTTGATCTCTATCACCCACCCCCTTCACAACCAAACAAAGCGCCTGCCTCCCACTTTTGAGGTCACACTTATTTTAGGTTACAAAGGCCTTCAAAATAGATGACTAAAATAAATAAACAAACAAATAAATAAAAATAACTGACCACCTTAAAAAAATAATGACTTGATCAAGAAGATGTGGCACATATACACAATGGAATATTATTCAGCAATTAAGAAAGATAAACTCATGCAATTTGCAGCAACATGGGATGGAGCTGGAAGGGATCATGCTCAGTGAAATAAGCCAGAAAGAAAAAGAAAAATACTGGATGGTCTCACTCATAGCAGGAATTTAGAAAACCTAAATAAGGGACCAGGAAAAAGACTAATCATAATAAAGTAAAAATCAAAATCAACAAGCAACTATAAACCAGAGATATACTATAGGAGGAGGGGAAGAGGGAGTAGGATCAAAGCGGGGGGGGGGGGAGGGGAATGGGAATTGTATGGGGTCTATAACCAAGATAAAAATGAATATATTGTGCAAAAATTAAAAATGATGTAAAATTAAAAAAAACATGTCAATAGCTGAAATATTTAAGGAGAAAATACTGAATAACTGATTTAAGTCAATCTGTGACAATGTGGACTCTACACTGGTGGGTGCCAAAGCCTTCTCCAGAGTTTGGCAAAGGCCACCAAAAAATCCATTTTGGAGAAGGAAAAAGTAAAACATTGGAAGAAACTGAAGTGATGTCAATGTTAAAATATTCTGTTTCTGAAGAAAAATATTAACTATGAGAAAAATAATCAATTGAAATATATTGGTAAGACAATGAATTATATCAGTCCTATACATATGGTAAATATGGAGTTTTACATAATTTTTTTTAAGATTTATTTATTTATTTATACAAGCACTAGGTACAGTCAGAAGCGTGGGAGGGTGAGAGAATTCACCAGAGCCAGTGCAGGGAGCAGAACAGGCAGAGTGACGAAGTACACTGCTGAGGGGAGCAGCGGGCAGGCGGCAGGATAGGTCTGCGTGCCATGTGGATTGAACCGGCGCTGCAGAGGCTGCGGGCAGCTTTGCAACTCAGTGCTCAACCACTGCGCCACCGGGGAGGCCCTTACGTAATACTTTCAACGACTGTTTTCTGGATGATTAAACTACAACTTTTTGAAAAAAAAAAACCCAAAAAACAAAGGTGTTCATCACATAGTCTCCATGCAGCAGTCCCAGAGGTACTGTAAACATAGACAACTTGCGGTTCACTAATAATGGAATTGAAATGCTGTGCTAGAGCTACATCTCAAAGCAAAATAAGTTAAGTTGATTTCATTTAGAAATTTACACTTGTTGTAAAGGGCTTTGGCAAGAGGTAGTCGGAAAAGCAAAATAAGTGGAAGCAGGCAGGGAGGGAGGGGGAGGGCGTGGGGAAGGGGAGAAGAGAAGTAGAGAGAGAGGAGAAGGGCAGGGGGAGGGAGGAGGACAGGTAGAGGGAGGGGAAGAGAAGGGACAGAGGGCAGGGGAGGGAAAGGATGACAAAGACGTGGTTCCTGTTCTACTTCTGAAGAAAGCAAGCTAGCACACCAGGGAGACGTGCAGGTGTGGCCTATTATAGAGGAAACTTTTTTTTTAAGATTTATTTATTTATGCATACAAGAACTGGGGTACAGGCCAAAGGTGCGGAGGAGGGGTGAGAGGATTCACCAGAGCCAGAGCGGGGAGCAGAGCAGGCAGAAGGACCGAAGCACACTGCTGAGGGGAGCAGCGGGCGGCAGGAGAGGTCCGCGTGCCATGTGGGTGGCTCCCTAGTTGGCCGGGAATTGAACTCGAGCTGCAGAGGCTGCGGATAGCTTCACCGTGCTGTGCTTAACCCCTTGCGCCACCAGGGAGGCCCCTATTATAGATGAATCTTGCCTTTATGTCATTGTTCACACTATTCCTTTCCTGCCTTAAGTGATCCTCCTCCACACACCAACTCCAGCTCCCTTTGGCCCTCACTTGGGCCCTCACATAGAGGTTGTTCACTGACCCCAATGAATGTCCCCTCAAGGGAGTGCCTCCCCAGGCTCTCTGGGTATCCCTCTGCTTATGGTCTCCCCCCCCCCGCCCCACCCCTGCCGTGATTTTCTATTTTTGGCACATTGTATTATAAGGCTGCTAACCCCTTGAGGACCAGGCCACATGACCCTCACTCCTGCCTCCAGAACCAGTCCAGGCTGGCTACAAACATGAGCTTAGCAAGCATCTGTGCACGAAGGTTATGGTCAACTGGCAGGAGTCCCTGCTGGACAGGGAGCCAGGCAATAAAAACGATGCAGGAGGGGCAAGAAATGAGGAATGATTTCCCAATGCCAGGAAATTCCAGGTTAGAGAGTCTCGTTCCCCTGTCCCTCACGTGTGGGAAGTTGTTACAACAAAGCTGCCTGTTACCTTGAACCTTAAACCAGAGTAACAGCGGGGGCTTCTCGGTGACAGTGAGGGCGACTGATTACACGATAATAGTTCTAAGTCTGCTGGGGCTGAAATAACTTAAATCTCTAAGCAACATCCTATGTCTTCACTGCAGTTGTTTTAATTCTGGGGCACAAAGGAGAGAAGTCATCCTGCCCCCTCCTCCCAGCTTTCTCCTCAATGGTCTAAAAAAACCTTCCTTTTCAACTTGCAAGTCATAGAAAACTGAAAGGAGAGGGCAGATCCGATGTCTTTGGCAACATTATTCATTTCCACCGAGTTCTGTGCTGTCTGGCTGTACAAGATGCAGGAGGTAGAGCAAATAACAAGTGTGTTCTGAGATGGATGGGAAAAAAATCCCCTCCTTTTGACAGAAACTAGAAAGCAGTTTCCTGTTAACCTTTATCACCAAGACACAGCCTGGAAAGCCCTGTGAGTTTCAGGCTTGTCATTTATTGTTCTGTAACCTTGAATATTTCATCTGATCTTGAACTTTCCATCTGCACTAGGGAACTGGGGAGTCAAAAATGCCTAGAGAAAAGCAGACCTCAGACGTCTCAATCTGC